TGTAGTTGCATTGTATCAAGGGGTAATATTTGGGCATATAAGGGAAAGAAGGGAGGAGGATAGGTGGAGGGTCATCGTGACCGTAAGTATGTGTGTTTTGGGGGCGGTGTGACGATCGCGGCGTCAGACCCCAGTCCTTCTCACCAAACTCGTGATCGAAGGACTAGCCAATCTAAAACCGCACTGTCACGTGCGTAACAATGCCATGCCCAGCTGCACTCTGCACAAAGATTGTCCAGCTAATGGACCACAATCTGTGTATCTGCAGCCTGGGAGCGATTGTTACTGGGTCAGGTTAATTACGCAATTAACCCTTCACACTGCCCACCTCCTTTTTGTACAGAGGAAGAGGAAACTCGCCAATATCAGCATTAACACTATGATATTTGAATAATCGTCGGTATACCACTATCACCGCGGGCAGAGATATACCAAAGTTTAAAACGCCCACACAGTAGCGTTCTTCAGAGGCAGGAATTCATAGTTTGCATTAAAGGGCTTTAGAAACAGTTCAACACTTTCAGAAAGTAAGATTTATTACTAAAAGGTCAAAAGGGTGCAATAAAAATATTTACAGAAAAAGATGTAGCATATATATATATATATATATATATATATATATATATATACAGTGGGGATCAGCTAAAAATTTGCATTAATGTGCATAAAGAAGCCAAGGAAAGATGGAAAAATCACCAAAAGGCATCAAATTACAGATTAGACATTCTTATAATATGTCAACAAAAGTTAGATTTTATTTCCATCATTTACACTTTCAAAATAACAGAAAACAAAAAATGGCGTCTGCAAAAGTTTGGGCACCCTGCAGAGTTAATATCTTGTACTGCCCCCTTTGGCAAGTATCACAGCTTGTAAACGCTTTTTGTAGCCAGCCAAGAGTCTTTCAATTCTTGTTTGAGGTATCTTTGCCCATTCTTCCTTACAAAAGTCTTCCGGTTCTTTGAGATTTATGGGCTGTCTGTCACGCACTGCTCTTTTAAGGTCTATCCATAGATTTTCAATTATGTTGAGGTCAGGAGATTGTGTAAATGATGGAAATAAAATCTAACTTTTGTTGACATATTATAAGAATGTCTAATCTGTAATTTGATGCCTTTTGGAGATTTTTCCATCTTTCCTTGGCTTCTTTATGCACATTAATACAAATTTTTAGCTGGGGTGCCCAAACTTTCGATCCCCACTGTGTATGTATATATGTGTGTATGTATATATGTATGTGTATATGTGTATATATATATATATATATACAGAGAACAATAGCACAGCAAAGAGATAACAGGGAGAAGTTTAGAGGGTTAAAGTACTTGCCACACGTCCTGGGTTAAGCAGATCAGGTTTCAGAGCAAAAGGATTTCTTACCTCTCACTGTCAGTTCCGATGTTAAAACAGGAAGATTCTTCAACTCTTTTCTTTCTCTTTTCAACTCGGCCTAGCTTAGCTTTTTCTAGAAACTCCACAGGGTGTCTCCCAGGAGCAGTAAACCAATCGCCTCCTTTGGGGGAGGGAGGTGTAGGTGGAGACCAAAAACTCTCACATTTGATGTCATGGTTCATAACTTATTCTCGGTGCATTTAGCAGCCTGGTGACTAGTAGATTAATACTCAGAATCACCGGCGGAACATCTACATATGACATCTGGGGACCAGCAAATTGAGGTTTATAGCCCTGGAGCTCTCCCGCTAAGCTTGACGCCTGTGACCTCTGCCTCATTCAGACCACATGTCGCTCAACAGAGAGGGAGGGGGGATGAGGAAAGCTGATGAGGGAGTAGGACATGATAGAAGATGGAGGACCCTTAACAAGATGGAGGACTGCGTCCATCTCTGTATGCATGATTGCTACAGGCGGGTGTGAGTGTAAAGGGTCAGAGGTCAGGATAATAGGAGGTGGGTTGGGTGGAAGAGGTTTGGGGGGGGGGGGGGGGGGGGGGGGGTAAATATTCTTTTCCACTCCAAACCGCCCCAGTGAACCCCCCTCAGGAGCTCAAGGTGAGGCTCCTTTTGTGTGACTCAGGCTCCTTTGTGTCACTATAAGAAAATTGGGCAAACGATCCTCTGGTTTTCCTCGATGTTTAACAGCACATTCAATCTGAGGATGGTACTAATTGTACGAAAATTCTCGATTGACACAGGCTTTTTTTTTTTTTTTTTTTTGACGTAGAAATGTTGTAGCATTGGTTATTATGTTGTTGTTTATTGGTTATGATCATACGCTGTCTTTCGTATCTGATTTTTCACATACGAAAACAATACATATTAAAAGAAAATCGGTAATTCTGTTTTTCCCTTTGGAAATTTTTATTTGGAAAGTCTGAATCAGATGTCAAAAGTTGTGTACACACTATATGAAAATTGAACTATTGGTCCTCGTACATTTTTTTTCCCAATTTTCTCATAAAGTGTACTCCAGTCACGTTTTTTTGGCTCAATATTCAGATGAGGTATTGTAACAAGACAAGTAATACCATTTTTTTTTTTTTTAATTGTTTTCCTTGGTTCTGGAGGGACAGAGTTAGATTCTCCATGTCTTTCATTTTGTTGACTTGGCTATCCCTAGAGAGAGATGTGGAGATATAGATATAATAAATACTGGTCTACAAAAACATTTTAGTACATTACTATGCTAATATTATGCACGGCTAATGTTGTGTAGTTTTGTATATTATTAGTATTTTGGTTTCTGTGGCAATGTCATCCTCTGACGTCACATGCATCTATGTCCTGAGGTCCTGCCCTATGTAATGACATTTCCCATAGCACGTTGCCTTTGTTACCAGCATAAAGTCTATGTTGTCTTTTACAACATCGGGGCCCAGAAGTCGGATGCATGCGACATCTAAGGAGGACCAAGGCTTAGTCCCAGGCTTTACACTAGTGATTGTTTTTTCTGGAGCTTGTGGGCACAACTCTTAGACTGCTCCGGCGAAGCAAAACCCGTTGGTTGGACATCTAATTGTGTGAACCCCTGACATCCGTTTCCCTTAACATCCTTTATTGCCTGGATGGTATCTGTTGGACCTTGTCACTACAAATAGGAGAGAAATGTCACTAGCACACCAGGGTTCTCCCAATACGGGTCCAAAGCTTTTAATGTGTAATCACATAGTTACAGCAAAAGCAAGAACATGCATTGTTTCTTAGCCTCGCAGGACCCCTTCATCAGGCATGTGACAGTGACAGAACTAAAAAACTTTATTTAAAGAACCATTCACCAATCAGTGCACAAAGAACCATTCACCAATCAGTGCACAAAGAACCACCAAGCCCCGCCCCCAAATGTCATATTCCCACCAATTACATATATGAAAAAAGGTAAACCACACCAAAGTTTCTTGCCTCAATAAAATAGGCTGCAAAACAGAGATCAGGTTGATGCATGTTAAAATGTATGGGGGGTAATAGATATGGTGAAATGTAAAGTTGGATTTCCCCAAAAGATGTAAAATCAGCCTGTGAGAATGTCGGCACTTGGAATTGAAAACAAACATGGGCAGGCCAATTGTCCCTGTCAGAAGGGTTGGACCATATTGCTCGATCACATTGGGGGAATGTACCTCCCAGAATCAATGATTCGCCCCATGGTGTGCTCGCATTAGGTACTTACTTTTCCCAACAGCCAACGGCTGTACATTTAAAGACCAGGACTGCTTGTCGTATGTGTGTTGCGACTCCTAAGCAGTCTGTGCACGCGTGCCTTTGCCGTGACGTCAGCTCCAACTGGGTGTAGTCATGGCATGCCACGGCACTTGCGTCAGATGGATAAGCTTCCAGTTTATGTAGGGATAGTAGACGCCAGCAAGCGATAGGCCAGTGGATGGGCTAAACATAAAGTGGGAAGGAGCTAGTGATCTCCACAAAAATTGGAACCAATGCAATCAATTTGTGTGTGGGAGTCTGGAAAAAGGAAATTTGCGGTCTGGGATAAAACAGAAAAAGAAAATTCCAACTGAACAAGCAAAAATAGACTGATAAGGATTGGCTCAAAAAGTAAAAATCTGTAAAAAAAATATATGGAACAAAAAATTTTAAAAAAACAAAAATGAAAAATAAAAATAGAAATGCAAAATGAAATAAGTGAAAATTTAAGGAAAAAAAAAGAAGGGAGTGCAGCACACATGCTCCAAAAAGAGAAATGTGGAAGGTGTGAAGTGAAACATCAGCTAGGAAAAACTAACATACAAAACTGTATACAAATCCAGTCATGAGTAATGTGCATTGGGATTGTGCAATCACACTGTCACTACAAATGTCACTACTTGCCTGGAAAAGCTATGCATGTAGAATTTTTTTTAGCCAAATAGACGTATGAACCGTCCTTGAACTCTGGCTATGGTTAAGGTCAATCCAATACAGTTACTGAATGTATTGAGGTCTACTCCAACTACCTCAGCATTCTTCAAAAGAAATTTGAACAATGTTCTTTCTGATCTTCTGTCAAGATTTGAGGCACCATCTTTGCGCGAATCTTTCTCATTCCTCATTTGAATCCATTCTTTGCGTTTTTTTTGGCTGCCGACTTCTTGCATCATTGTAGACATGTTCCCGCTCCTCCTTTTAAACCACCTATGCCATTCAAAAACTCTTGCTTTCTTCATGGAATGTTCACTATAAGCCTGTTGTAACTGAGCTAAAGTTACACTAACACTTTTGCCAATTTTCACGCAAAATCTGCTGCTCCAGATTCTGGTCACTCATTTTCCGCCAACAGCGCAATACACACGTGTTATTTCTTCTACTACTCTATAAAGACTGAGTCAGCGGGTCTGCGACCCCGGCGAGTGCAAGTTAGAATAGGTCAGAGCATGCTCGAGTGTGTATGGCTGTGTGACTCACCACCATAGGGCTCAGCGGCAAGCATTCCCGGAATTAAATTGTCACACCTCCTATGCAAGCTGTTTTTAGTGTGTCAGTCTCGGTCAGGGGTATTGATTTAAAATTCAAGGAGGTCCAGTCACTAAAATTTTCTTCTGGCCGAATAGGGTGTGCCCCCTTACAATAGGTGTCGCCATCAGAGTGGAACTTGATATGATTTATTCCTATCACATCAGGTGTCCCCATCAGTGTGCCCCTTTACATCAGTTGTCCTCATCAGAGTGCCCCTTTACATCCGTTGTCCCCATCAGAGTGCCCCTTTACATCCGTTGTCCCCATCAGAGTGCCCCTTTACATCCGTTGTCCCCATCAGAGTGCCCCTTTACATCCGTTGTCCCCATCAGAGTGCCCCTTTACATCCGTTGTCCCCATCAGAGTGCCCCTTTACATCCGTTGTCCCCATCAGAGTTCCCCTTTACATCCGTTGTCCCCATCAGAGTGCCCCTTTACATCCGTTGTCCCCATCAGAGTGCCCCTTTACTTTCCGTTGTCCCCATCAGAGTGCCCCTTTACATCCGTTGTCCCCATCAGAGTGCCCCTTTACATCCGTTGTCCCCATCAGAGTGCCCCTTTACATCCGTTGTCCCCATCAGAGTGCCCCTTTACATCCGTTGTCCCCATCAGAGTGCCCCTTTACATCCGTTGTCCCCATCAGAGTGCCATCTTACATCAGTTGTCCAGTCACAGTGCCACCTTACAGCAGGTATTCCAGTCACAGTGCCCCCTTACAGCAGGTATTCCCTATTTCACAGTGCCCCCCTTACACATCAAAGTGCCCCTTTCTATCCTATTTCCCCATCAGGGTGCCCCTTTCCATCCTATTTCCCCATCAGGGTGCCCCTTTCCATCCTATTTCCCCATCAGGGTGCCCCTTTCCATCCTATTTCCCCATCAGGGTGCCCCTTTCCATCCTATTTCCCCATCAGGGTGCCCCTTTCCATCCTATTTCCCCATCAGGGTGCCCCTTTCCATCCTATTTCCCCATCAGGGTGCCCCTTTCCATCCTATTTCCCCATCAGGGTGCCCCTTTCCATCCTATTTCCCCATCAGGGTGCCCCTTTCCATCCTATTTCCCCATCAGGGTGCCCCTTTCCCATCCTATTTCCCCATCAGGGTGCCCCTTTCCATCCTATTTCCCCATCAGGGTGCCCCATTCCATCCTATTTCCCCATCAGGGTGCCCCTTTCCATCCTATTTCCCCATCAGGGTGCCCCTTTCCATCCTATTTCCCCATCAGAGTGCCCCTTTCCACAGTATGTGCCCCCTTAACATAAAATGGGCCCTTCAGAGTGCCCCTTAACATAAAATAAGGGGCATGCTGATGGGCACATTTTTATGTTAAGGGGGCACAAATGGGCACATACTGTGGAAAGGGGCACTCTAATTGGGAATATGATTTAAAGGGCACTCTGATGGGGAATATGATTTAAAGGGCACTCTGATGGGGAATATGATTTAAAGGGCACTCTGATGGGGAATATGATTTAAAGGGCACTCTGATGAATATGATTTAAAGGGGCACTCTGATTGGGAATATGGTTTATAGGGCACTCTGATGGGGAAATATGATAGAAAGGGTTACTTTGAGTGTAAGGGGGGCAATCTGACGGGAATAACTGATTTAAGGTGGCACTGTGATGGGGATACCTGATGTAAAGGAGCACTCTGATAGGCATACCTGATGTGATGGGAATATATGATGTAAAGTTGCACTCTGATGGCGACACCTAATGTCAGGGGGCGCTCTGATGGGCACATTCTATACTGTGCCCCTGTAAGACTACACCCTACCTTGAAGGCAGACAGGAGCTGTGCCGGGATTCTTGCTGGACGTTTGTGCACAGGCAGGGAGTGGGAGCTAGAGAGACAGTGAGCTGAAAGGGACGGGGTGTACGTGTGATGTCATGTTGCTGTGACGATGGCCCTGCTCCACAGTGGATCTGTCATTGCGGGCTAGCGGTCCAGGCGGCAGTGCTGCTGGGGCTGTTTTCGCACCGCGGTCTGCCATTAGTGACTGCTGGTCTAGGTGAAAGTGCTATGTAATGCTTCTCCCCAATTTTCGATAAGGCCCATAAGTATTTAATTTTAATAATCTACAAACATATAGTCCGGGTGTCGGCAACCCACGGCTCCAGAGCCGCATGCGGCTCTTTTTGCACCTTTTTGCTGCGGCTCCGGAGCACACTGCTCACCAGGTGACAGGCAATAGGGTTGCCGTAGCTCAGTGGTCGGCAAGCCGCGGCTCTTTACACACATTTAATTCGGCCCTTTTAATCCGGCCCGCGGAGCGTGGCAAACATTGGCGTCAGGATGTAGGCGGGGCAGCGTGACGAACTCCTCTCCTCTCACAGTCCGCCCTGAAGACCGGAACGGCGCGGGAACACGGCGAGAGGAACGCACGGAGCAAAGGTAAGTGAATTGACACAATATGGGGAATGAATTACTATAGGGGGGATGAATTACTATAGGGGGGATGAATTACTATGGGGGATAAATTACTATATGGGGGGATGAATTACTATATGGGGGATGAATTACTATATGGGGGATGAATTACTATGGGGGATGAATTACTATGGGGGATGAATTACTATGGGGATGGGGGATGAATTACTATGTGGGGGATGAATTACTATGTGGGGGATGAATTACTATATGGGGGATGAATTATTATGGGGGATGAATTACTATATGGGGGATGAATTACTATGGGGGATGAATTGCTATATGGGGGATGTATTTTCAGTTTTAAAAATGTGGCTCTCAAAATAAATTTCAATCGTGGTTTTGGCGAGATTTGGCTCAGTTGAAAAAAAAGGTTGCCCACCACTGACCTAAGGCTATGATTGTGATTATGAAGATACACTGTGGCCCTGATTAACCCTTTGCTTACTGGGCCCTTAAACCCCCTTCATCACCAGAGCGCTTTTTGCAATATATGCAGTGTCGGATTTGTTTTAAATGTTGCAATGGTTTTGCAGCTTCCAGTCTTTTTTTCCCTCTCGGAAACGGGTCCAAGTGGCTCTTTATGTCTTAAAGGTTGCAGACCCCTGATATAGTCCATCCCCAATCTGTCCAAAGTTATGTAAAAGGTTTTACCTTCAAATGGAATTAAACTCTCCAGTTAAACTTTCTTATTTGAAAGTCCCCTTAAAGTACTGTACTGATAGCTTTCACGTAATGCAAAGCAAATCCCATTTCTGTCTCCTGACACTGACTAGCACATGTGTACTCTCTGTTGCATTCCAGACATCTGAACAGTGCCGGAATCCAATCATCTTGCTTGCTTGGCAGTAAGCACCCAGTCCAGCAGAAATGTTCTCACTATGCTGTTGCTGCTAACCGCAGAGAAATCCTACTAGGAAGTCCGCACCAGAATCTGCCTAAGAAAGTGCTGGCTTTGATGGCCAGGAGGGTGCTGTAGCCTGCAGTCTAAATGGTACAGTAAAGCCCGGCCATACACGGGTCGAATTCCGAAAGAATTTTCTTTCGAAAATCTTTTCTAAGAATTTTCGTTCGAATTTCACACCATTAGTGGGTCACAGAAACGGCTGATTTTCACGTGACCATCGAATTTCAGTAATTGGGCATGGTGTAAATTTTTTGAAAAACGAATGCATTTTGAATCAATGATGGGAGAATTGTACGGGTAATATAAATGAAAAAGATATGAGCATGAGCTGTGACCTGGAAAGAAATGAAAATTGTTGGCCACGAAAATTCTTTTCTGTAGCAACAAGAGGTGAAATTGAAAGCTTGGTTGGTCAGATTTCAAAATCAAGGGTGCCACCATTGAATTACAAAATGCACGAAAATTCTGAGTTTTCTAAAGAAAATTCGTTCGGAATTTGACGCATGTATGGCTTGCATAACACCGGACAGTGGAAACACCTTTTTGGGTACTTCGGATGTGCGAATATTGAGTATTATTAGTGAATGATTATGGGGTTTAGTTGTGAGCTGTTTGGTTGGTTAAGGGGTCTTGGCACCCATCAACCCATATGTGGACAAACTGTATATGTAAACTCTCACCTTGTAAAACAGCCCTTTCAGTTTAAAATAGAAATGAAAGGCAAAACATTTGTATAGTTATAAAAACATTATAAATACCTTCTTTTTTTTTTTTCCCCTTAATAAGTGATCACATACCTTCTGTTCTCAGCTGCATAAGTGCTAGGGGAGGAGAAACAGCATACACTGGTATTGCCAGTGAATGGCTGTGCAGGATGGGGGGGGGGGGGGAAATATCAGTAAACGCCTGACCGTTATGTGAGCAGGCTGAATTCCTAGCACAGAGAACTGACCACGCTGTGCCCCTGTGTCTAGTGTTGTCAGTTTTTAATAGAAAGGAAGAGGGACTGGCAGGAACACCAGCCATTTCACATAAAGGAAGCAATACAAAGAAAACAGGACACTTTTTCATACAAGTACATGGTACAGCAAGCACATATCTGGAATAGGAAATGTTGGAGTACTGTATTCTATAAAATATGAAAATATCATATCCTTGTGGGTGCATGCCCACTGTCAGGTACACTCCCACACTCCTGAGACCTGGAAGATGCCAAGAGTAGGAGCCAGATACTGGGAAATGCAACCTCCATGTACATGCATGTGGGAGTTACATCTTTGATGGGTAAAGAAAGTCGTTGGGCTGGCAAAGGCATTGTGGTGTAGTAGCAATTTTGCAAAACCTTAGAACTCCAGACACGGACTTCTGAGGAAAACAAGTGATTTATTAAAACAGCACTGTTTGACCTAACAGATGGCTCATGCTCACATCTGCTAAGTGAGTTATAGAAAACTTCTTACAAGTGTATATGCCAATGATTCCTAGATTGTAAGCTCCAAGGATCAGGGCCTCCTATCCCTCTTGTATTGAACTGTATTGTTGCTGTATTGTCTCCCATTATATTGTAAAGCGCTGAGAAAACTGTTGGTGCTATATAAATCCTGTATAATAATAATAATTACGTCACCATGCATACATTTCTTCTTTCACTTTCTATACTATCAAAAGGCTTTCTAAACGCTATAGAATAACGAGTAGCAGTTGCAGATAAGAGCACTAGCTACTACTAGCTGGCACATAACACTCGCAGGAAATAAGGGAGGGGGGAAGTGAGCCGAAAAACCTTGCTTTTACAAACACAGGCTGTTATAAATGGTAGAGTTTAAAGGGGAACTCTGCCATATTTGGGTGCTGCCACAGTGGGAGATGGCAGTAGCCATCTTACAGTGAAAGAAATTCAGAGAGATTGTACGTGGTAGTCTTCCGTATACCTCTGAAAAAGGAAACTACATGTTCCATTTTCCATAGCTTGTTGTTATGCTAATATTTTCCTTAACCCCTTCACGCCTAAGGGTAAAACAAATCTAAATGCCTAAACACAAATTTGCAAAGTTGACATGTGTTCGTAAAACCGTACGTATCATCACAACTGCTTTGTACATCCAGGTGGATTATATCTTATTTTTTTTCAGGACAAATTGGGCTTTCATTTCCTGGTAAATGGTAATGGATATCTCCTGATTTTTTTTTTTT